ATAATCTAGAGGCTTGTAATTAAGTTAGACTGATGATAAATTTAAAACTTTGATATAATTCTCTTGGACAACTAACTTATTGCAGTGATTTTGTACTGGGATCTAACAACCAAATTTTCTCCCTCCTGGAGTACATCAAGCTTTCCTACATGTATGCACCAATCCTTCCTGTTGGAGCTGCTCCACTTTTGGATTAAGTGCCTAAATACTCAAATTAAATGGAAATCAAGAGCCCCAGTCCTTTTTTACCAAATGTATAATGGCTTCCTACCCAAATAAAAACATGTTTCTGCGACAGTGACCTCCTGAGTCATTTGGCTGAATGCTGTTAGTTTATGCAGGTGCATCCATCACAAAATGCCTCTTAATCATGCAAAGCTGTTCAGTGCCTGCTTTGCGTTAAAAACCGATTTCCATAGGAGATATTAAACTGCTATAAATTCAGTGCATTGTTCTTCAGTGATTGCAGCATTTTTTCCAGTTTTGCTAGTGAAAATCAGGGCGTCAAAATTTCTGTCAGTGTTGACTGATACTTGTTTTCATCCAGCTGTATGTTTTTCAATATACATGTTGCTCATTTTTAGATACATGCTTTTCCAGCATCACTGAGAATCTAACATGGATTACAGCATAATTTACAACAAGATGCCCATTTACTGCTTTTTTGCTGTTGCTACATACCGTTTTAAATGATTATGAGATTATTCAGAATATCACAGCTTTTCAAATTTTGTTTTCTCTTAAAACACTGCAGTAGTTTTGTTCCACTCTTCTGTTTTCCACTTGATAACTCAAAGACTTGGAATGAATGATTGAAATATGAGTCATGTGCATTATGAACTATTCAGTGTATTAGGAACACAGATGTTTACTGCCATAAATTATTACATCATTTTGGGATGAACTTTGTTATAACCTTGAAATAAGCAAGCTGATGGAGAATGTGAATCTGTGTAAAGTATTTTCTGTAGCTCTGGAATATCATTCTGTAAGAAAAGCCGTAGAAGTATTTTAAAAGGAAAACTTTAAGCTCAAAATTATCTGAAGAATAAACCAGAAAATGTTTCCCATTCAATGGTAAGAACTAAAATGGGTTCATCTGTATTTCAAAAAACAGAATTCCAAATAGTTTCTTGTTTTAGTGTGTTTATCAGAAAAGAAAGGTTGGTCTGAATAGGCTATTGTTAGTAACAAGCTTTGCTTCATCAAGTCAATAAATAGTTGAGTTGTTATATCATGTAGTTTCAGTTCATGAATTGTGCATCTGTTCAAGCCCTGACAGACTGAGAGTGCCTGCTTAGATACTGCAAACATTTCTTAGCTCACAATTTCACTTTTTGAAAAAGAATTTAAAAGTAGCATCAGTTGCTAAAGGAGAGAAATCAAGGAGAGAGTTAGTATAATTATGGACATTTAGCAAACTAGCTTATCTCAAAACTGTGAATGGCAATGAACATTGCAAGTAAAACTTCCCAAACTCAGTTTTCTTTAACATAACTATCGAAACGAACTCTTAGCCCTGTAGTAGTTTGAATGGCACAACCAAGCAGATACCAGGAGATTATCAGCACTTTTGATCTCTCGATCCTGTATGCAACCCCCTTTGATGCTGGGTGGAAATCCAGCGTGAATCAAAGACAGCCTGTTTTCTAAACAACAGCGGCTGATCTGGAAAAGGTCAGGCAGGAAAAATGGATGCATGCATATGCCAGTATCACACACACACAAAAAATCACATCTTTCTGTAACTGGCTGAATGAACTTTTCTGAGGCTATTTTCTCTGTTTTGTTCTGCTTTAATGAAAGTGAAATATAATGGACAAAGTACTGTGGGTACAGCTTTCTACTTCCTGACTGTGACATTTCTGGTGAGTTATTGCTGCTAAATATTTGTGAGCGTTAATGGCCGTAAGAGCTCCAGAAACTGCCACCGAGAGGCAGACATACAGAGAGTTATGATTAGTGTAGTATTTAAAGTACCAGTGGAAGCTATTTTTGTGCCACGCACCATGGCTGAAGTTAGCTGCAGCTTTAATTTCGACCTCTGTCCCCAAAGTTGTTAAAGACACTTCCCAAGAGGATGGGGTGGTGTGTGATTGCCCGGGCAGCAGCAGTACCATCGAGGGGATCGGTCGGGACTGCGGGCTTGGAGAGAATGTGGTGGAGACTGCTGCTGGACACCTGCCACTGGGGTGGGTTTGAGTTCCTGCACGCCGGCCTGTAGCGGGAAATATCCCAAAACAAACAGTGGAAACAATGTGAAGAGGGAACAGCACCACACACGCTCAGATCTGTAGCAGCGATGGACCCCAAACTGAACAAAATGACGCAAGACAGCTCCTTAGATTATCGGCAGCATAGAAGTTTTAAAGGATACTGCAGGTGACCAACAATTGTACACTTTCTTCCTTAAATGCCAACCCACTGTTGTGTCTCCTCCAGCCAGTTCTGACCAGATTTGACAAAGTGTCTCAGTGGTAAAGTTCCCACCTGTTTCATTCAAATCAATGCAGAAAAAGAGAAAAATAGCTCTTCTCCTTCCTTCCTTCCCTCACCTGGAGGACTGCAGTGGTGTTTGCTCTGCAGGTGCCTGTGGTGCTTGGCCTGACCAAATCCCTGCCCGTCCAGGAGTTAGAAGCAGGGGGGTAAATGGGAAATCAGGGGAGGGTCATGAGCATGTGGTAGCCCTAGGGAGTCTGTGGGAAGATGTTACAAAGGCACGGTAGGGGTGGGGTTGCTCAGTTAAAAGATGCAAAGGCACAGATGACTAATTGATAGGAAATCAGTGTTTTGCTACTTCTGATAATCATAAAGAAACTTCTTCCTTCATTCAGTGATAGTAAATCCTAAGATTTACTAAGACAGAGAAAAACAAGTATCTACCAGGTGCCTGTCTGTTTATGGTGATACCTAAAGACATAATGACCTTCATTTTACTGTGTCTTTCATCTTGCCCTCAGCAGGTGACCATTTTCCACAGGTTATGTTTTGGGGCACAATCCTTTTAATGCATATTTATGTAAAGAAAACATTTGGCCAGCTGACATGAACATATTTATTTACAGCATTAAAAGCTTGTTAAAATTGTCTGTTACAGATATGCTGTTTTTAATCATAATTCTGGATATGTTCTTCTGATAGTTGTTATCTTAATTCTGAAAAGGGAAAAACCTTCAGTCCTAGGGTAGTCAGATGACAGATGCAAACTACGCTTTTTTTTCCCCCTTTAGCTGCTTACAACACATACCATGGGTCTGCGGTTTGGCAAGTGCACTTGGTCCTTCCCAGCCATAGTGCTGAGATATTGACATACAGAGATGTGCCACAAGGCTTGGCTCTCACTGTAGCCCCAGTTCCTGTATCGCTGGTTGCAGTGTTGATCTATAATTAGAACATTTCTCATTTACAGATAATATTGCTATGCTGTCTAGTGTCTAAAATCATCCTAGCAATTATTTCAGTATTGTAACAGGAATACTCAGGAAGATTGCTATGATCTAGGGTGCTTTATTTAGGGTCTTTTCTTCTTAATAGGGGTGTGCTTCAGAAATTGGGTTTTGGTTTTTTTAAATAAGAACTCAAAGTTTCAGATTATTCCTTTGATCACAAAATTTCATTCTATCCGTAGAATCATAGACGCATAGAATACCAGCTTGGAAGGGATCTTAAGGATTACCTGGTCCAACCTTTCTTGGCAAAAGCATGATCTAGACAAGATGACCCAGCACCCTGTCCATCTGAATCTTAAAACTGTCCAGTGTTGGGAAATCCAACTTACCTGGCAGAGATTATTGCAGTGGCTGATTGTTCTTATTGTGAAAAATTTTCCTCTTGTGTCCAATTGGAACCTCCCCAGGAGTAACTTGAACCCATTATCCCTCATCTTTTCCATGTGACTCCTTGTAAAAAGGGAGTCTCCATCTTCTCATAGCCACCCTTTAAATACTGGAACATGGTGATAAGGTCTCCCCTAAGCCTTCTTTTCTCAAGGCTGAACAAATGCAGTTCTCTCAGCCTTTCCTCATGTGACCAATGTGGCCCCATCCGGAGTAGTCTGTCCAGTTCTGGGCTCCCCAGTTCAAGAAAGATGAAGACCTACTGGACAGAGTCCAGCGGAGGGCTACAAGGATGGTAAGGAGACTGGAGCATCTCTCCTACGACGAGAGGCTGAGGGAGCTGGGCTTGTTTAGCCTGAAGAAGAGAAGGCTGAGAGGGGACCTTATAAATTCTTATAAATATCTTAAGGGTGGGTGTCAGGAGGATGGGGCCAAACTCTTTTCAGTGGTGCCCAGCAACAGGACAAGGGGCAATGGGCACAAACTGAAGCAGAGGAAGTTCCAGCTGAACATGAGGAAGAACTTCTTCCCTCTGAGGGTGATGGAGCACTGGAACAGGCTGCCCTGATCGGCTTTCCAGTCCTTTGATCATCTTTGTGGCTCTTCTCTGGACCATCTCCAGCCTGCCCACATCTTTTCTGTATAGCCGGGACCAAAAATGAACACAGTATTCCAGGTGGGGCCTGATAAGCACTGAGTAAAATGGAATAATGACTTCTTTATCTCTGCTGGTGATGCCCTTGTTGATGCAAACCAGCATCCTGTTGGCTTTCTTTGCCACAGCAGCACACTGTTCACTCGTTGTCCACTAGGACCCCCAGGTCCCTTTCCACAGAGCTGCTCCCCAGTTGGGTAGACCTCAGGCTGTGCTGAACTCCTGGATTATGTTTTTCCAGGTGCAAGACCTTACACTTGTCCTTGTTGAACTTCATAAGGTTCTTGTTAGCCCACTCTTCCAGCCTGTCCAGGTTCTCATGCAGGGTGGCTCACCCTTCCAAAGCGTCCATGTCCCCACTCAGTTTGGTATCATCGGCAAATTATCAGAGTACAATTGATCCCATCATCCAGATCACTTATGAAGATATTAAGCAGCATTGGACCCAATATCTATCCCCAGAGGACCCCACTTGTGACAGGTGGCCAGTTTGAAAAGGAGCTATTTACCACCACACTCTGGGTGCAGCTTGTCAGCCAGTTCCCCACCCACCGCACCGACCACTTGTCTAGACTGTAACGCATCAGTTTTTCTAGGAGAAGGCTGTGGGAAACCGTATTGAAAGCCTTGGAGAAATCCAGGTAGACAGTGTCCACCACTCGCCCCACATCAACCGAGCAGGTTATTTTGTCGTAGAAGGCGATCAGGTTTGTCGAGCATGATTTGCCCTTGGTGAATCCACACTGGATCTTCCCAGTCATGTGCTTCATTTGACTTGTGATAGCCCTTAGGAGGATTCGTTCCATAACTTTCCCAGGTACTGAAGTAAGACTGGAGGGCCTATAATTTCCTGGATCCACCTTTAAGCCCTTCTTTTACCTGGGGGTGACATCAAAGGGTAGCCTTCTTACAGCCTTCTGGGATGGCCCCCAATCCCAATGGGGGGGGGGGGGGGGAGGGGGGGAATCTTCATAAATGATGTGGACAGTGGCCTCGCAATGACATCAGCCAGCTCTCCTAACACCCTCATGTGGATATTGTCAGGGCCCCAAATCTCTCAGAGAATGAATGGCAATACAAGGACAGTCTTTTCTTTACTTAGCATTTCTGTAAAAGTGGCTGCCAGAATCTGGGTTTACAATTACGTATGTTAGGATGACAAAGCAAAGTCATAAAGGCCCGCATGCACAGGGACCCAGGTCTGATGACATCCAACTTGACTTTCCAGTGCCCAGCTCAGAGGCAGACAGCTGCAGTCCTGAGTTACTCACCCAACTGTCCTATAGAGCTGAGGGAAAG